TACTCTTTCCAAAGTCTGGGAACGTGTAAATTAATTTCGACAAACGATCTGGGAAGATATATCAATAGTCTGAATCGGCACAAAGTAAGGATGGAGCGACAAACACAGGTAAAAACAGCAGTCTCTCATCCAAACCTGCTGCAAAAAGCGAATGCTCCAATAACAAAGTAGGCTTCTGTCTCTATAACATTTTACCAGCCGGGATTCAGAACTTATCGACAGGGCATCTGTACACTTCCATATACTGTACTGAGTGGGAGAATAACGCCGTTAAGCCCTTAGTGACGTCGGTGTCACCCACAGTATCTAGACAACTTAGGCGAGCGCCGGATAATCCATCATTGCCGCAGTTCAACTTCTATGCAAAGACCGTGACATAAAATGTACTGAAAATACTCTAACATCCACTGCCACAATATATTGAACACTGGGGTCTGTTAAACACCCTACGTGACCTCTGTTTTGTAATCTTTTTAAACTACCGCTCAGGGGGAGAGTATGGGACTACACAATAAACTAGCCGTTGTCCAGCGTGAATGCATACACTAGTTCTATACAATAATGGAATGCTAAACGATCATTAGGATTAATCATAGCATTACTGAGAAGCTAGTATTTTTGTCTCTTACACAATAGCTAACCAAGACAAGTCTCTGAGAGCCTAGTAGTTATCTAAGCGAACATGACTATCTTTTATACAGCTGTACTGTTAATAGTCAATCTATGTTACAGTACAGTATTTGGTTATGTTTAGTGTGGTGAAGCCGCGGTGTATGGCTTCCAGGCTTGAAGGCCATGTTTACTCGCACTACCAACCCTCCTCCCTGCCAGGCCTACCACAAGTATTTTACAATTCAACTTACAATTGTTAATCTGGTACCAGTTATTTTTGTATCCCCATAACTACCTACCTCTTCCACCCCCCTCCCTCCCTCCTCTTACTAATTAACAAACTGCACCAATCAGATCACGTATATTCTGTTTTATTTATTCCTCAAATCCCAACAATTCTAGCATGTGTCATTAAAACATGCTGTGAATTTATTACGACCTAAAATATCATCATCCAGGATTCAAATAAACATAGGTTCGTAAATTATAATAAAACACACCTTAGGATAACACACAAAACATGTACAAAAATAATATTAAAAATAACAAACTCCACTACAGTTAAAACGAACCTTTGAAATTTACACCTGGGCGGATTAAGTAATTTAGTACAAAAACTTATTAACTGATTTGATGCTTTCTTATTCAGAACTAATTCAAACTAATATTAATCTAGGTTTAGTACATATTAACTGAAGATTCAACTAATAGTAATTCACAGTTAATCAAGGCCAGATAAGAGGATTGAGGTTAATATTTCTAAAACTTTCTCTAAAATATAACCAAGTAACAAAAATCCAACATAAATCAGTGGAAAAGTATATAAAGATTAATTTAGTTTAACCTTACCTAAATATCACTTTCCATAGTTTACTGGTTTTATTCTTTAATGAAGTTTACTTCAAACTACAGAAAAATATAATGATATGTTTAAAACTTAGCGAAGAATGTTTTAGTCGATTTTAGGAAGGTAGTGACTAATCTTCAACAAGCTGCTCCCCCTCCTCATGGTTTCAGGAAAGTTTGCTTCTCGTCGCACCACTCCTACCAGTCTACTTCACATGTCTGTAACACTAAATTTCCAATCAAAAACATTAGTTGTGCATTATATACCCAACTACACCACAGCACTTCTTGTACATCATCAGTGACGTCCCTGTTATTGTTTCATAAGATACGGTAACATAATACAAATTTATCATCACAATACAAGAACATTTCTATAAACGTCGAGAAATATATGAAATACAATTACATACATATAACATAGGCAAACTGTATTCCGAATGATTATTATCACGTGACGTACTTGAGAAACGGTCGCAATACACGATCAAGAGTTGACAAACGGTAAAAAATCAAATTAACAACACGATAAAACATGTCCAACATCAAATAACATACATATTCGTTAAACATACCCTGTGTAGTGTAACATATTTTAACAATTCAAAGATGATTTTAATAAACATAAATAACAGTACGAAAATTACATTCACAATTACTTGACAACACAAACATTAAAACACTCACTTCACTGACGCTAGCTTTTTTTTTTACAATACCCATGGGACTAAATTCTAAATACATCAATATATGTTTACTAAAAAGGTTATATGCTGACTAGTCTTAAGCATCAAGGTAACAGAATACAGATAGATTAATTCCATAATCAAGGTACTGATTTACAAAGGTTCCTATGTGCCATATCTATATTGTACTGTATCTCGTAACCAAAGATATATGAATGTATGTAACTGGTTGACTTATAACACAAAATTAAACACATTGTATGCAGTTATGGAGAAGTACTGTCCCGCTGCCAGCCATTATGTGAAGCCGATACACCTATATTTCGTACAGCGAAGCATCAGAAGGAAGTAGATTTTTTAACATGTCAGTGTACAGTAGGTGCATGGTCTAATAGCTGTATTTAGTCCATGTATAGGCGGAGGGGTAGCGGGGGGTAGAGATAGGATAAGGTGACGTTTGTGTGTTTGTTTATGAGGCATGGAATACGACACACGAGAAACTTAATGCTGTTGAGAGGTGCGAAATGGAAAGAAAATTACGATGATAAGAGAGTGACATAAAAAAAACTGATAGTGTGGGAGGTTGAGAGTTAATGACTCATCAATAAATACGTTGGGTGTAAATCAAACTTAATGCATCACTTAGTTTCTACGTTTTTCTGAATGACCAAACACTCCTGTACAAACTGACACTGAATGAAAAGCACAGGAGGTGGAGGAATGCTTGAGGCGACCTAACATCAGCCACAAGTTAGTCTAAACACCTAACCCAGGGAGTAATTGAAGCGGTTGACGATCAAGGGCGACTGAACCTCATCTTGAGAGTCAAGTCCCATAATCGCTTCACTGTCATAAAATTAAAATTACCTTTTCTTTGTGATATTGTAACCTGTGCATCATCTATGGTTCCTTCTGGTAGACTTCGTTGGTAGTGGGACACGACTTTTGTCCATGACTGTACATAATTATATTTATTCACGTAATACATAGTTACAATGTTTAGTATTATAATGGCACATCTGAGCATTGTTTTATCATATGTAAGCCATATTTATTTCAGACTGCAAGTGATGGTAGGGTGTTGCCAGTTGTTTCCAAGTCCCAACACAGTATACACTCCAGGTACGTTTTTTTAGACCAGAATCTACCTTATCTTTATGAACACAATGGCATATCTGTGGTCATAGATACAACTGTACTTACTATTTGTTACACTTCGTCACGGACGCTTGTAGCCATGAAAGTATTATTGTGTTAGTGACTTACTGTACGGGTGTGGTGAAATGAGGTGCTAACAAATTACTTCACCTGTAGCAGTGAGAGGACTCAACCTGTTTTGCTTCATCTTCAAAACAAGAGAGACCATAACACGGGGAGTTACCACGTCTTCCCGTCCCCTTCACTCACCGCTGATGGCTCATAGCTGTATGGAGTCGAAACCCCAGCATTATTATTATTATTATTATTATTATTATTATTATTATTATTATTATTATTATTATTTACGGGCATTAGCCCACCCGGGCACAGGTCATTTTTAATGACCCACATCAAGGCCTGGGGGGGGGGGACAAATAACAAATAAAAATACAGTGATGATGATGATGATGATAATAATAACAAATAAAAATATATGAAAATAAATAACAATTATAATAAAAAATATATAATTTTTTTAAATAATAATAACAGCCAGAAAAAAAAATAAAAATATCAAGTGAGAAATGATATACAGTATGTATGTTGTGTTGTCAAAGTAAGAGAAACAATTGAGACCCTGCAATTGTGTGTAAATAAGGCAGAAAGTCAGATGAGCAACCTGGGACTTGGTCGCATATGGCAGCAGGGTCTACCATTAGACAACACATTATGCTTCCAATATCTTCCCAGGTGGTAGTACCTCCCTGTTCGATAGCTGCCTACTACCTACCATGCAAAGAGTCACGTGAGAATGTGGGCGTTATATTTCCGTAATAAACAAACTATAGACAACATTCGTGCTCTACGTCACCAGTCTCACAGCTTCAGCTACGAGCAACAGTTATCATCTGAACCACTGAAAATCTGGACCAGGGAATTGTCTATCCACTACAATCGATGAACAAGTTGTCTGTTGCCATAAACTCACCAGGATAACTTGGTACCGCTTGACAACTCTATAAATAAGCGTATATTGTAGCACTCCTAACTAAATATTATTGTTATTCGGCTTCACTGTGATATAACTATTTAACAGATGACGCCGGAAGGAAGACAATCCCTCATAAATATCTACAGTGCATTGCACGCCACGCATTACAGTTTCTCGCTCTTGTGATCCATGGTTGTTTTAATACGACCCGTCTGTTCATTTTAACACATCAAGGGACCAGTTTAGTTTCATGAAAGAGGTATACATATTGTAAATACTAAAGACCCACACAATACACCACATAACAGTGAGTGTTGTCGCTAACAAAACAGTGCAGTATAACAAGTGCTCAATTAATAAAAATACATGTGAGGGTGAAAATAATAAAAAAATATTGTTTTACTGTGATTCCAATGTATGTTTACTATTGCGAGTTTCCTTCTGGCGAATGTAAACAAACACAAGGCTGCCACATTACACAAAACCTGACGAGTCCCTGCAAACGCACTAGTGAAGGGGTCTGTACTTAACTGAGATGATTAAACGGCACTTTTAAGATTTTACTCATTATGATTATTGTATTTGCTAACCTAGAAGCGCACGGCTATAATCTGACCAACATATAGTACTGTGTTACATTTGTTACGAGGTGTGTGTGTGTGCTGTTCCACGCCATAGGTTATATTCTCAGGGGTCTCATAGTTCATGCAGTAGAGAAAAAAAAATAATGTTTTTATCTTTATTTCCTCGTTCAGGTGAAGGAATCATTATTTAGTCGACAAATTATTTGCCAGCAGGGTGTTGATGATCAAATTATTTTACAACTGGTTGGTAAGCAGCGTAAGGCTTTCCATACATAAATCATATTATTAAACTCTTTCCTCGAGTGTTAATTTCTCTGACATCTTTGTTGATTTGTAAATATTATTCTCTAACCTGAAGAAATTTAACGCGACATCTGAGACACCGGCTAGGTGAATATGACGCTATTATTTCTACTCGTACTCGTAGTTCAAAGCTTTCTGCGTAATTTCTTAACACTAATCATAATTTGTGAATTCTATTAAATATTGAAGATAAGAGTTTAACAGTTTTACCAGTGAGATTTATAATGACCATTTCCTCGTTGAAGGTCGGGGAGCACTTACAAAATTATTAATGTACAGTTATGAGGAAAAAAATCAGCAGGGAGCGAGAGAGAGACTTCAGCGTATAATTACTGACCTAATTACACGCTTGAAGACCTTTGTTGTTTTATCCCGATACACACTTAATAATCACACATACACACTCTAACATCTACTGAGTGTGTTTTTGTTGCTCGTAAGATTGCCAGGTGAACATCAGTCAGCTAAATACCCTACGTTCCATCATCTTGAATGCGGTTGAACGTCTTACTTCGGGCAGACAGCATGAAGGTATAGTTGACTCCACTCTCGCGTTTATCACTAAGCGTTGCCAATCCTCTCTCTCCTGGAGGTGTGAATCCCGAACTCTGAAATGTGACTTCAAAGTATTCTCTAGTGAGCGGGAGGGAGAGGGGAGGGATGCGTCTGGGTAGGTTTTTTTTTTTTTGCCCCCGAGGGGGCTAGTTTATTGGGCAACCCCTTAAATCCTGCGCAAGGTGAAGCGCAGAAGTGTTTACAGAGTCCAGCTGGGGAGCATGCGAGTTCATGCTTGCCTTTATGACTCATGCACTAAGGGCGTAAAAGCCTGAAGGTGTCTTCCTGTAGGGAGGGGGGAGACAGGGTGCTAGGGGCGAGGAGGGAAATTGTGTCAGTTGGGAGAAATTACAATGTAGGATGAATTCGTGTATAAGCGTGTAGCAGTTTGTGTAGTGCAATTAAAAATAAAATGTTAATAAAACCTTTATAAGTCCCCCCCCCCAAAAAAAAACTAATGCCGGGCGTAGTTATTTTTATTATAAGGTGCGCGAGCTTATAATGCATGTGTGTGTGTGTGTGTGTGTGTGGAGGGGTAAACTATCAACCTGTTAGTAAAGACTATAGAGCATTACTCGACGCTCTCTTTGACCTTGACAGGGTCCACTGAGGAGGTGGAAGCTCCAACACCAGCAGTAGTATCATCAGTAAATGATCTCGAGGCTGGCATTCGCTTCAGTAAGGCCTCGATTAACTTCTTAGCAGGATTGTCCTCCTCGAGGCTGCAGGCGATAAGCTCGATGTGGCCACGATACAATACTAACTTGTCGTGGGCATCGCGTAACTCTCTGTTTTTGGACTTAACAGTCTCCTCAAATTGTAACTTGAATTTTTTAGATTTCTTGAGCTCGAGCCGCAGTTGCTGGACATCGCTGTTGGTTTTTCTGAGGACTTTGTTGCACTGCGCGATCACGTGACGCAGAGATTGATTTTCTTTCTTTAGGCCTTGGATCTCTCTGTAGAAGGAGAAAGAGGCAAAGGTGTTAATGTAAAATTATTTCATTTCAGTATAAAAATTAAGAAGTCCATCATTATTTCAAGTTTTGTATTTACCTTGGTGACAGTAACGGCGATAATGTAGAGACGGTTAAAACACTTCTCCACTCGTACACAGCATATCAGCCATCCACCTCTTAATTTCCTTCACATCTTGTTACTTGCTAATAAAGATAGCCTTAGTGTAGATACTATAGTATATTAAGGCGACATATACTGGTTTTACTTATTAACCACTTTAAATTAGGTTAGGTCTTCCTTGATACCTCCATTGGCATTTTCAGATAGATTAGATAAATAAATAGATATATATTGTTATTCATTTATTACATATTGGCATAAAAGTTACCATTGACTCATGATATATCGTTATTAAATTATCATCTTGTGTGTTATAGTGTTTGTTTGTTAACCCTTCCATGTAAAAATCTTTCCTGTGTTTTCTTTTCCATATCTTTTCCGTCATTGTATTTTTAGTAATCAGTCAACCTCTACCTTACCTCCAGTTTCCATTTTAGTACTCAATCACTCCATTTGGTATAAACAGTACTCAACTTACATTTTCTTCTTTTTATTTGTACCCACCTTGATTTTGCCTTACCTTAGTACTCAACTTAGCTTTACCTTACCTTAGTACTCAGCTTTACCTTAGAACTCAACTTAGCTTTACATTACCTTAGTACTCAGCTTTACCTTACCTTAGTACTCACCTTTACCTTACCTTAGTACTCAACTTAGCTTTACTTTACCTTAGTACTCAGCTTTGCCTTACCTTAGTACTCAACTTAGCTTTACATTACCTTAGCACTCAGCTTTACCTTACCTTAGTACTCAGCTTTGCCTTACCTTAGTACTCAACTTAGCTTTACCTTACCTTAGTACTCAACTTAGCCTTACATTACCTTAGTACTCAACTTAGCTTTACTTTACCTTAGTACTCAACTTAGCTTTAACTTACCTTAGTACTCAACTTAGCCTTACCCAACCCACCTTTTCTTAATCTCTCTGTTCTTCCTGGCCATGATAGCGTTCAGTCTCCTCTTCTCCTTATCGGGGTCTTCGTAAGGTGCCATTTCGTATACTTTGATCTTCTTGGGTAGAGGCTGAGACGTTGAGGGAAGGTCAACTGACTGTTTCCTCTCCCCCTCACTCGACTCGTCAATTGTAAGTGCTTCATCTGTTGACAAGGTATATGGAATTAACTTAGAGTATAGTGGATGGAAAGTCAAAGTAGAGTTTGTTTAGGTTTACTCACCGAGAAGATTCAAATTTGATTCTTGAAGAGTTCGTATTTGACTACTGTATTCATCATCAGGACGCATAGATATGACGGGGCCGGACAAAAGCCCCCTAGGACAAAAGCCCTTCAGTAAAAGTGCAAAATAGGACAGAAGCCCCCTGTTCTTATGCGAAAGAGAGGGTCATTAGAAATATTAAAAATATAAATAGATTTAAATATGACACATGTTCATTCTGTATTTACCGAGGTGACCCTTGGGCCCAGTGAGGTCAGGGGAGTAATTATCCCAGTAGACAAAACATACGCCATTGCAGATTTAATAAACATTCCTTGTATACTTCTTTATAACAGTAACAGAATTCCCGAAGGTTAGGTTAGGTTAAGTTAAGTTAGGTTAGAGAAGTGTTCATAAACTGTAAAAAAATAAAATAATTATATTATTTTTTTTCTCCCGGGGGACTTTTGTCCGAGGGGGGGTTTTGTCCTACACTCAGATAAGACACAGACAAATAAATTAAGCTGACAAGTGAAGAGGTTAATACAAATATAAGAAAAAGGCAAGACAATTAAGATAAATTCTCCAGCATTCAAATTGGATTTTCTTTTATTATCGAGTCTTACGTGTGTTGTGACTCCCTCAAATTCTCGTGTCAGGATCCTGTCAATCTTACTTAGCTCTCCCAATACTTTCAAGAGTAACCTGTAACTCAGACATATTCAGAGTCGTGTACACTGCCATTATAATCTTTTACGAGTATCAGAAGTGAAGAACAAAAAATTAAGTAAGGCATAACATTTTGGATTACGTGAAGATTAGCCCCCCCCCTTATCAGTTTATTTGACCTGAATAATAACCACCATACCGCTACCTTGGGGTTAGGTTAGCATAACGCTTTGTGAGGGAGTTTAAAATATTTGAATACGTTTTCTATGAAATATAAAAAACCGGAAACTTATGATACTCCGACGGTTTACTGATAGAAGCTAACGATAACAGGGTAACGTGTAGTTTCTCGTTATAATAAGCTTCAAATCTCACACTGGCGATCTACAACCTATCTTCATAAAAATAAAAAAACATTCACTATAATGACAATAACATATCGTCAAGTTAGTAAAGGATAAGCCGTCCACTACTCCACACCGTTCAATTTTAAACACCTCGGTGGATTTGATGACACGTAAAGAACTCTTAACGCTATTTAAAGTTGATTCTCTTAACTAGTTCCATACACTAGAAAAAACCCATAAGAATTAAGTAATTTCTTCCCGTTACCAAGTTAATATTTAGCGAAATCAAATTATATATTTTTTTTACTTAAAACAAAATGTCGCAGAGTTAAACAATGAATGCGTTTAACCCTTTCAGAATGATGGTTTAAGCTATCATCCACAATCAAAGGCTTACACTACCATACTCAATAATTCAACCATAATCTTAAAAAAAAGGGTAAAATCATCAGCCGGTTTAACTATTATTGTATACAGATTATTAAACCATAGTCATAACGATTCCACTCTCCGAGTACAATGACTGAACCCCTGAGTGGAATATCTTGAAACTCTTGACTCTTTCAATTACTTATATCATTACGGTTAAGACTATAATCATTATTATTGGATCACCTGAAGAATTGTCACCCCAGAGTTTGGCAGGGTGACAATTCTTCAGGTGGGATATCCTGGGGTGACAATTCTTCAGGTGGGCTCAAAATTTTTAGTCATAATCATCAGTCGACCATGGCACGCAATACCTTCCAAACTGTCGTCTTACCACTGTTGTGTGATGATTCCTCTAAAGTTATTCGGTGGCTTCAACAAAACAGACTTTTAAAGCGTGAAGTGTGGTACTTGTGATAACTGGATGAATTGGACAAAATACTCCAGATCGAAGGATTGTTTTCTGTGGAAATGCCAAACAAAAGACTGCCTGAAGTATAAATCCACTAAGTCTATGAGAATAGGATCGTTTTTTGCCCGTTTTAATATTTCACTTCAGAAGTGGGTTCATGTTATGTATCTTTGGAGTGAGCGTATTGGAGAAACAGCAGCAGGCCGTCAGGTTTTTCTGATAATCCTCTGGATGCATAACACAAAAGAATATATTTATGTTATTCTAATTATACAAATTATATTCACTGTGGGCTGGGGTGACGATTCTTCAGGTGGAGCAGGCTGGGGTGACAATTCTTCAGGTGGGATATCCTGGGGTGACGATTCTTCAGGTGGACATTCTGGGGTGACGATTCTTCAGGTGATCCTTATTATTATTATTACCAGTAGCCTCATTATCACGAGTTAATATTATTATCAACACTATTATCATTATTATTACCAGTATCATCATCAACACTATTATTATTAACACTTATCATTACTAATATGTATGATCATTATTATTAACTATTATCATTATTATGAACATCATTATTACGGCATATAGTGTTAGTCCTACGCAATACGGTCAAGCGACAAAAACGGTCGGCCGGAGGTTACAATACGTACCAGATATCGTTCATTTCCTTTAGCTGGAAAAACGTTCCTTGGGACTTGTGACAGGATGAAACTATCAAAACTCTCCGACATTACCACCACCCCATCATTAATTTATTTTTATATATTTATTACTCTGACTGAATCTATAAACAGTGTGGATGAGTTAACCATTCTTATATTATGAATGAGTGATTTACCTTTTCTTTTATAGCAGTCATTACCGTTTCTTATATAGCATTCATTACCGTTTCTTTTATTGCAGTCATTACCGTTTCTTATATAGCATTCATTACCGTTTCTTATATAGCATTCATTACCGTTTCTTATATAGCATTCATTACCGTTTCTTATATAGCATTCATTACCGTTTCTTATATAGCATTCATTACCGTTTCTTATATAGCATTCATTACCGTTTCTTATATAGCATTCATTACCGTTTCTTATATAACATTCATTACCGTTTCTTATATAGCATTCATTACCGTTTCTTATATAGCATTCATTACCGTTTCTTATATAGCATTCATTACTGTTTCTTATATAGCATTCATTACCGTTCTAATATAGCATTCATTACCGTTTCTTATATAGCATTCATTACCGTTCTTATATAACTTACCTTTAATTTCAAGCTTGGGTTGACGTCGAAGCCTTCCAGAGAGAGAGGACGCGCCAATATCCCCCTCACCCGGGCTGCCAGACGAAAGATAAACAATATTTTTACTTCCACCCTCTTCCTCCCTACTCTGTTCACTCTCACTTTTAATCTCAATCTCAGTAGTGTGTGTGGGCTTCTTCCTTATTCCTTTACCTTTCACTTTTTTCCTCTTTGGGGACATTAATGACGAATCAACTAAATAAGAGATAGGTGGGGGATGGTAGGATAAGGCGATTTTAAGACCGTCCGGTAGTCATCAACACAACGTATTCACTCGCACTTTGCTTCTCTGATGTTCTAATTTGTAAAAAAAAAAAAAATCATAAGTCACTGTTTACCAAATAATAGGAGCTACTTCATCCCACTACGGATTACTAAAGGGATATGAAGACAACTGACTGGTCTATACGTATTATACAGTATATATTAAGGAAAGCTGTTTTACGTACGTACTGTACATGAATATTATGCTACCGAAACGTTTGACCAGAAGACTCACGCAATTTCCTGGCACCTTCACACGGATGTTTCTTTATTCAGGGTGAAAGTTGAGTTATGGTACTTCCTTTTAAGTACAGATCACACGAAGATTAGGAATCCCGGTTTATTTCACCTGAATAAACACCCTAATACTATACAAACCTAACGTAATCGAACTTAATCGAACCACCTGAAGATTAGGAACCCCGGTTTATTTCACCTGATGCTGTACTAATCTAACCTAACTTAATATAACCCAAGAAACTCTTAAGTGAACTTAACTTATTTAACTTCATCTAATCTAACCCAATTAACCAAACTTAACTAAACCTAACCTAAATAGATATAACAAAACTTAACCAAACCTAACTTAACCTAAGTAGACCCAATCAACCCTAATCTACCAAGACCTAACCCTATCAACCTAACACAACCAGATCTGGCCTTATTTAACCAAACTTAAATAATCTAACCTAACCCACCTACTCTAATTAAACCTAAACTAACCTACCTATCCCAATCAGACCTAAACTAATTAAATCAACCTAATTAAGTGAACCTAATTGACTTAACCAGACATAAACTAATTAACCTAACCTACTCAGCGCAACTTCTAGCACCGTCATGCTTTTAGAACTAGTTAACACTACTTGCTCAGCCTTTCCTAGCATAACTCGATCGCCACCCACAACAGGAAGTCATCAGTTTTTTAATGTTTTTTTTATTAATCCAAGTATAGTGTTGCCAGGCGCCATTTTGTAAGCCTCGCAGTGGAGTCAAGTTCTCGTCTTTGCAGTGAAACCTACATATAACGAACTTCTCTCTCCATATAATCCGTTAGATTTTTTTTTAATTTAATTGTCCCTTGATGTACCGGACTTTCATATCTTTACAGTTTGTTTGATGGAAGTTTCACATCTAAAGGACCCTCTATATAAAGGACTTTCCTCGCCATATGGTGCGTTAAATAGAGGTTTCACAGTATCCTTATAGAGGGCGCTGGATCTAGCCTAACTTAACCTAACCAAACCTAACGTGTGATGTTGGTAGCTCGGCCCAGTAGATCACAAGACCACTGGTAAAATATATACACGGTAATTTTTTTTTTATTCGAGAACCTTAAATAATTCCCATTAACTAAAAATTATATCAGTTATGAACCCAATATTTTGTTTCGTAAGTGTAGCCTAATGTTACAGAAAGACGTGATATGATCCAGAGAATTAGTTATCAGCAGGTATCAAGTGACTGGTCGGTGACGGGTAATGGTTTTCATGCCATGGCGGCGCTCACTGTGTTTATGTGTGTCGTGAGCGCAAGGGAAAGAGATCTCACAGAAACATAAACACAGGGTTGAAGCAGTGGTCATAATTCTCAAGTTATCCGACGACTTTCTTAACTAATAACCACAAGAAGTTAAAATTTTTCGAAAGGAAATATTCTGGCAACTTTGTTCTTAAATGTTAGTGGTCACAAACACCAAATTCCTACGTGTTGTATTTTATTATCTTTATCCTTCTACAAACATGATGTATTTTCACCATTTCCTCTCCTCTTTGGGATGCACGGCAACATCCTCTAATGAACTTATCAAACTCAGTGTAGTGTGCTCCTCTCTGATAGACAGCAGATATGTCCAAGTTTTCCTCCCATTAACAAAACATTTATATGCACTTCATATAGAGACTAATAAATGAGAATGAAGGGTATGTCGCTAGTCTTTGAGTCTTTGTGATATAACCTCAAAGTTCATCTATAAGGCAATGTATAAAGGTTGATATTTGAAGAGATTAAAGATTACAATGATACTCAAGGTCACTTACTGACTACTTAATAATGGTCAAGACAATCATGATGTTCTATTATAAAAACAAACTTACACACGAACCACTATTGATGTCTATAGGTCACACCGCTTTAGATGCTGCCCCAACATACGGTAGTGGGGAGGTGCTACGGGTGGAAGACTCACATTAAGTGTTCAAATGTTCGTCTTATAATGAGTTTTTACCATGATAATATGTCGAACAATTTAGACACATCCCAAATATAAAAAAAAAACATTGACTTATCATTCGTCAATATTGGTGTTCTTCGGTCATTGTGAGGAATATTACTGTGGATTTTGTTCAATATTTCAAGTTTGGTAAAAAAAAAAAAAAGAGAGCTTTGGGTCTCCACTTTAACCCCGGAGTGCAGCAGTGGAGCACCACAGGGCTCTAACCTTGGACCCGCTTTGTTTGTGATCAACATAAACGACAAACAGATGAATATTATAACGAAATGATGTTGCAACAATGCTCACAGACCTGCATGAGCTGTTCAAGGTCTCGAGACTGGCATAGACTCTTTAACATTACGAAATGCAAGACCCTACACATAGGATACAACCTTAATCACAACTATTCTGTTAATAACACTTTCCTGGATACTGTTGATAAGGAGAAAGATCAAGACAAGTGGGGGCCCCAGTGAGGTAAGTAAATCCAGACTTGGGAATTATAAAGTATACCTTTGAATATAAAGATAGGAAAATGCTCCTTTGTACAAATCTCAAGTACACAAGTGTGGAAACCCGACCTCCAGAAAGATCTAACATCCCTAGAAAAGGTGCAACACAGGAGTGACAAATATGATTCATGAACTATATATATAGCAATTCAATTGTCCAGGTAGACTGAGGGTCTTAGGACTAAACAGCCCCTCAGACAAGGCACAATAGGGCAGATCTCATTGAAACATTAAAAATCCTGAAAGTGATGGAAAACGTGAACCCGGGCCATTTCTTTGTGATGTCACGCACCACCAACAAGCTGGCCAAGTTATCATACAGAACGAATATAAGAAAATACTTACTCACACAGAGGCTGGTAGACCTATGGAACAGTCTACCAGCCTAAGCTGTGAAATTAAGAACAGTACTGGGCTTCAAAATAGTCTTTGATAAAATTATCAAGAACAATGGCCTCTGGCCTCCTTCCCTTGGTACGGCCACACCTAGTGGGTGGTCATTAGGTAAATAAGATAATTAAACACGAGATATTTTTATTACTCTGGCGGCTATATCGGATTCCTGAAGACTTGTTATGATCGACTGAATTTTCTAAGCATTTCCCCTTTTTGTTCTTCTTGTGTCCCGTGATCACTCTTTGTGCTCCACTCTGTCTCACTCACTCTCCCCATTGCTCTCTTCCATTCTCCATCACTCACTCTCATCCACTCTCCCCATTGCTCTCTTCCATTCTCCATCACTCACTCTCCCTATTGCTCTCTTCCATTCTCCATCACTCACTCTCATCCACTCTCCCTCACTCACTCTCCCCACTACTCTCATCCACTCTCCCCACTACTCTCATCCATTCTCCCTCACTCACTCACTAAGATCGAGTTTATTTAGCGAGAAAAATACAGATACAGAGTAAATAATAACACCAAAACCGACATGACTCAACCTTCTTAGTGGCGCCTGATATATATACACAATACATTTATCTCAAAGCATTATGATGGGTAATGGCGTTTAATGGAAGTATGGCGTCAATAACAAGTAGGACAGGTTTGCAGATGGTAAATGGTAGTGGAGAGTGTGTGTGTGTGTGTGTGTGTGTGTGTGTGTGTGTGTGTGTGTGTGTGTGTGTGTGTGTGCGGTAGTGTTTTTATTGAGAGGCAGATAGAAAACTCAACAAACTCTATATATAATAAAATAGCAGAACCACAGCTCATATACCACTATACACTTACTCCACTTCCCGTTAACTGTTGTAGCCTTCAAGCCACGCCCTCACGTACAGTACATCCTTCAGTTCATCATCCTGAGAGCAGCTGCGTCTTAGGAGGTAGTGGGTCTTCAGGGCTTGAAATAGTATATTATATTTATTTGGGGGGCAGATATGGGTTGTAGGGAAGATAGCGGAGTTACTCAACATCAGAAATGCCAAGAATCATCTGTTGAGTTTTCACGATTTATGGACGGACATAGTGTGGTGAAGTAGCAGTCCGCATTACCAGTCATCGTTGTTACAGTCGACAAGTATAGCTGATAAAGTGATCCTGGAGGTAACATTTTGATTTCTGCTCCCGATAAGACAGTAGTAGCTCTCTCCTCTGACTACCAATAAGTGTAGGTCTCATCTCCCGCCGAGGCTTCAGGAGACACACAGTTGTTTACGGATGATGGTCACGACACTTGTGGAATACCAACACCATCGCCTTTGATCACGCCGGTCCGCCATTATCAATCTCGGTTCGTCTGGTGGAATCTGAAGGTCGTCATTATAAGCGACCTTCCTCAACCTCTTCCCTTGGGCTTACATTCATTAGAGAGGCGTAGAGTTAGGGGAGATATGATAGAGGTGTACAAGTGGGTAAGTGGGATTAACAAGGGTAAAATGGAAGATGTTCTGAAGCTCAGTAATAACGAAATAACTAGAACAAATGGCTTTAAATTAGATAAATTCCGATTCAGAAAGGATATAGGCAAGCACTGGTTTGGTAATAGAGTTGTGGATATGTGGAATAGGCTACCGAGTGCTATAGTAGGATCGGGGACGCTAGGGAGCTTCAAGACGAAGTTGGATAGGCACATGAAAGTGCTGGGATGGGTGTGAAAGGGATCTGCCCTGTATGGGCCAGTCGGCCTCCTGCAGTATCCCACTTTCTTATGTATGTTCTTATGTTCAACTCCTTGTGATATATATAAGAGCAGCTGAGCCTCACACTCCTACCACAAAGCCTCAGTGAATCTCCTCAGCAGCGCCAACCTTACAACTTTTATAACTAATGCACAATTTTGACCCCGAATCTGTAATACTTTCTGACGCCATACTTTTTAAACGCTCATTCTGAAATAGTAAATTAAATCCCATTAGTTAAATTACCTGAAACAAACA